CAAAAAGCGCCATCTAGTGGGCTCAGAAAATAAAGAAAATGCTTCATGAGGCTTCATTTGGCCATCACTGCCAAATACTAATTAGTTAATCCCTGACTCAAAGTGGATGGTTGTTCCAAATGTGAATTAATTCCCTAAAACTGTCCTTAAAGTATTCATTCACGAGAGTGAGTTGTTGAGTCCAATTTGACATTTGTACCACATTAAAAAAATCCCTTGAGTTGTTCTTGAAATATGATGTTAATGACAATGACACAAATGATGTCACAGTGACCTTGACTTTTGACCAATGACCACCAAAATCTAATTGGTTCATTGTTCAGTCCAAGACAACATTTTTAACAAAATTGAAGAAATTCCCTTAAGGTGTTCCTAAGATACTGCGTTCACAAGAAAGCCATGGACGAGGTCACACTGACCTTGACCTTCGACAACCAAATTCTAATCAGTGTTCATCCTTGACTTGAAGTGGATATTTGTGCCAAAATTGAAGAAATTCCCCCACAGTGTTGTTGAAATTCCATTCACAAGGATGAGAGATGCAAGGCCACGGTGCCCTTGACCTTTGACCATCAAAAGCTAGTTCATTAAAGTCAGTTCATTGCAGAGTCCAAGTGGACATTCGTGCCAAATTTAAAAAAATTTTCTCAAGGTGTTCTTGAGATACCAGTGACCTTTACCTTTGACCACCCATATCTAATCAGTGCCTCATTGAGTCCATGTGAACGTTTGTGCCAAATTTAAGGAAATTCTTTCAAGGCGTTCTTGAGCTATCGCGTTCACAAGAAAGGGACAGATGGATGAATGGATGGATGGTCGTAGGAACATTTGGACAGACAATCCGCCTTTCAGATTTAGAGCACACTGATGATGTATTTGTTTTTGGTCCTTGATCAATGCAATGCAGTTTAGATGAAAACCTCAGTATTGTTCTGCAGCTTTTCAGAGTTATAAAAGAAACTCTCTGATGATATATTCACAGAGAATTTAAAGCCAGAGGGACAAATACTGACCCTGAACATCAGATTTCACCGAGATGGAGCAGATGAAACAGGGAGAGGAACGAACCCTCCACTGGTTTCATTCAAACAGTTACACCACACATTCATGATGATGCTGAGCGTACACAGAAACTACCTGGGCAGAGAAACAAGCCACAGGTGCAGTTTAAAATCAATATGCTCAGTGAGAGCGCTCTCCAGGACCTTCAGTGGGTCAGAGGTGAAGATTCATGATTGGTACAAACAAGGCTTCTGCATTAAAATGGAAGACAAACAAAGATTTGAGTCCATAAAAGAAGACAGACTCATCCAAGATCACAAACATCACAGCCGTCTGGGTGCTGTCAGACAAAAGGTGGCCGAGGTCAAAATATACAGCAGAATGTGAGTGCTGATGTAGCGTGATGAGGACTGCGCTGATCCGTTCCAACGTTTACACCCAGCTTTAAGACATGTGTGGGCAGCAGAGTTGGCTGCTCATAACAGAGTCTGTTTACAAAGAACAGCAGAGAGGTGGTGACTGTGTGGTCCGGTCGGACTCTGAGCAAACTGACTGGAGCTGCAGCTGGATCTGCTATCATGCTTTACTTAGTTGTAGTACTTGTGTGGACAACAAATTACACAAACATGTAGTGCGACTGGACATAAATACAAGAGAGGTTTTATATGTGCGGAGTGGGAGCACTAATTTGTGCTTTCGGATCAATCATTTTTTAAAGATTTTCTCATGTTTAATTTGCAAATCTAAAGTACAACCATATATAAATTTTCACTCACTCACTCTTCAGCTTCACAGTGGTAGATGTGCAGCGAACTGACAGCAGCAGAAACTCACCGTCAGGAAAATGTCCAATGTCGCATTATGACCATAAAGTTAAATACATATCTATGGTTTGGATTTTTCCCTTCGCCAAGGAGAGTACGTATTCAGCTCAGTTTGTGTGTTGTAATTTATCAGCAGGATTACAGAAAGACTATTGGCCCGTTTTAGCATGTAGCATGAGCCATGAAAGAACCCATTAAATTCTGGAGCAGATCCAAACAACAGGGTGGATACTGAAATTATTTTACACCTTGCACTGTGCAACATTTCGTCACAGTCTTGGTTGTATTTGAATACGGCTCTTACCTTAGACGTTATGAGCAAAAATGGAAGTAGCTGAGCCAAAATGCTAGTGGCTAGCAGTGCAGTGCTAACAACAGCAACAGTGCAAGCAGACAAATGAAGTGAGTTGTGTGATTATATAACAATGAAAATAACTTCCTGCACGTGCCGAGTCCACAGAGGAGAGAGAAAAAAGGGTCATTAAAAGAAAATCAGAGAGACTGGCCTGAGGTGATGCACATGATTAGAGGCACTAGGATATCCAGCTATTGTGTATTTGTTTACAGATTAACAACAGTTGCAATGAGTGGAGATGTGTGATTTTTGGCAGTTAAACACTGGCTCGTTTTGAGAATAGCTTAAGAGCAGAGCTGAGGTTACTTCTCTGCTAGTGCTCACCTACATTGGACCCGATCAAACAGTGTTTAACCATCAGCCACAAGCTCATCCTCACGATGAAACAATCACTTCCTCCGTGTGTCTGTGGTAAGCCTACATGTGGTTCAAAAAACGGCTTGTAGGAAAATACAAACTGAATGAGACTGGAATTACAGATCACGAACCCATCGAGTTGCAGTTTACATCCATGTCTGTGAAAACATGGATACTACACGTCTCCCCACCGACAGCACAGAAGGTCCATACAATCGGCACAGATTCAAGATTAGAGTCACCAATTCAGTATCTGACCAAGTGTCTGCCCTTCTGCTCCTGAGTTACAACGTTGAATAATGATCATAAAAGTGTTTTATGATGTCACAGTGATATCCCCACTTCATCATTGTATCCTAATAGAAATTTGTGTGAAATCTTGGCTATCTATGGCCACAAACATGTCGTATGAGGTCACACTGACCTTGAACTTTGGTCACCAAATTCTAATCAGTTCATCGTTGAATCCAAGTGGGCGTTTGTGCCAAACTTGAGGGAATTCCCTCAACGTGTTCTTGAGATATTGCGTTTAAAAGAATGAGACAGAGAAGGTCACGGCAACCTTAAACTTTGACCTGTGACAAACAAAATCTAATCAGTTCATCCTTGACGTTAACTGGATGTTTATGCCAAATAGGGTTGCAACAGTATTAGATTTTCCTGGGATGATATCTGTCTCAACAAAATTGCAGTTTCACGGTATCACAATATCATGGTATAACAGAATTAGTATCAGTCAAAATGACCCATAAAGGAATGAAAGCGGAGGGGTTATTTTAGGTTAAACCACTTTTTCCTAAATGGAGGTGTGCGTAAGAAATGTCCCTTTTTAAAAAAAAAAAAAAAAAAAAAAAAGAAGCTAATTTTAAGGTGAGAATCTCCGTCCAGTTGCATTTTATCCCCAATATTGCAGATAAAAAAATGTATACGGTATGATATCCATCAGAAATTTAATTTGAAAATATTCCCTCAAGTTCTTGACACATCGCGTTCAAAAGAATAAGACGGACAAGGTCACAGGAACCTGGACCTTTGACTCTTGTCCACCAAATTAGAATAATTTATAGCTAAATCCAAGTGGACGTTTGTGCCAAATTTGAGGAAATTCCCTCAAGGTGTTCTTGTGATAATGCTTTTAAAAGAACTAGAACCTAGACTTTTGATCAATAACATCTGATCAGTTCATCCTTGAGTCTAACTGGATATTTGTGCCAAATAGGGCATGAGATTTTGCCAGTACGATAGCCATCTCAGGAAAAAAATAAAATAAAAAAATAAATAAATAAAAATAAAATCGCCTTTTCACTACTGTAAGACCCTTATAAATAGATAAAATGGAGGTATGCATAAAAAGTCTCCTTTTTGAAAATGTATAGGCAAGAATCTCTCTCTCCCCAATACTGTAAATAAACAAATGTACAGTACACGGTATGATAACTGTCAGTTTGCATATCACGGTACACCCTGAAACCGGTATACCGCTGCAACCTTAGTGCCAAATTTGAAAATATTCCTTCAAGGTGTTCTTGAGCTATTGCATTCCCAAGAATGAGACAGACACAGTCTTTGCAACCTGGACCTTTGACCTATGATCACCAAAGTCTAGGCAATTCATCGCTGAGCCCAAGAGAACGTTTGTGCCAAGTTTGAGGAACTTCCCCCAATTTGTTCTTAAGACATCACGTTACAGAGAAGACAGATGCAAGGTCACGGTGACGTTGACCTTTGACCACCTAAAACTAGTTCAGTTCATCCTTGAGTCCAAGTGGACTTTCTTGCCAAATTGTTTGTGCCAAATTCAAAGAAATTTCCCCAAGGCATTGTTTACGAGAATGAGACAGACAAGTCAAAAACATAATACTCCAGCCGCTGCTATTGCTGTGCGGAGGCATAAAAACAGTAACTACAACAAAATGCAGCAAAAAGTAGAATCAGATTTGCTATTTTTAGTAAAATGAAATCAAAGCTTTCATTAAAATAATCGAATAAAGGCTCTGCAGAGACTCCAAACATTATGCTCATGGATCCGCCTTCACACAGCGCTGCTGCTTAAATGTCCCTGAATAAGATTAAACTATAATGACTCCCACGGTAAACAAACCACGACCACAAGTGCGTGTGCCTGTGTATGTGTGAGAGTACTTTACTGTTAAAACTGAAACCAGAGACCACACGAGAGTCACACACACACTTTCTCCTCCTCCAGGCTGAGTGGTTGCTTCCTCTCTGGGGACTGTGGGAATGAGCGCGCCCGCCTGTGTGTATCATGTGATTGAGCGGTGTTATTGAGAAGGACTCCGAGGCTTCGAGGTTCAGACTTGTGTTTCATTTTCTCTGTGATGTGTGGACTGGAGCCTACAGTCTCACCACTGATACCATCATGGGGGAGAAAGAATCCTGCTCTGTCCCTGTAAACATCAAACATCCTTGACAAGAGACTGAGACATTGACGTGCGTCCTACCTCACAGCTCTGCCAGCGGTTGGGAATGTTAGGCCGAAGCTTCTGCTCACACACAACCTTCCTCATCTCCTCCACTGATGGATCTGACTGGACCAGGTCGTAGTAGGGCAGCTGGTAGTCCTCGTGGATGCCTGACAGAAAGATGAGGTCAAAATACACTGAGGTGTTTTCATGCTACATGTTTTCACCTGTGTATCTGATTATGCATCTTCCCACAATCTATGCAGATACTTGTGTGTAAATATTTCCACGATCAACTCTCATATGATCCTCACCTCCCATAGAGCAGCGGCTGGCGATCTCCCAAAAGACCAGGCCCATGGCGTAGATGTCAGCTCGCTTGAAAGACTCAAAGTGTTTCATGTTTATGGAGTCGTCCAGGACCTCCGGAGCCATATACCTGAGCAGAAAGATAACGCACTGCTATCAAACTATAACTTCAATTAAGTTATGGCATTGTGCTTGGATAAAAGCATACACTTTATTAGGGAGAGAATAATCATGGAACCAGTGGTGAAATTTAATGTCCGGGAAAATAAAACAAGACCTGAACAAAGTGGAGATGTGAGTGCAAAGCAAAAAGTTGGTGTACAGTAATCAATCGGACCATCACCCTGCTCCCCTGAAGAACACTTCATTCGGAAAACAATCAATTGTTATATTGAATTTGTGAAGAAAATGTTTTTCATCTTGTGGCGTGCCTCCAAGATGAACAAAAAAAAATCCAAAAAAGCGAAACATTCTTGATGAACTGACGTCACTGGGGAGCTTCGCTTTAACAACAGCAAAACTACATCACAGTATCTGATTACAAACTCTCACACAACTCGAGCAGAATAATCAAAGTCTCACCTATCCAGTTGTTTGCTCGGTGCTTCCCAAACAGGTGTATTTTCTCTAAAACATTACATTATAAAACACTTCTGCCTACGAGCAGAGCGCCCTGAGTGTGCTTGGGGACGTGTGTGTTTGAGCAGAGCTTAAACGTAAGCAAGTTCCCAGACACAGTACTTGGCGCTGCATGAGACTGTTTGTACTGAAGTGTTTTCATCCCAATGTTTAAGCAAATATGCAGTTTGGGAAGTTCTGAGCATACGGTTGGAAAATGATACTTGGATTACACTGCTCGAGTTTGTAAACGGATGTTTTGATGTAGTTTTGCTGTTGTTGAGCGTGGTCACCATCATGAAGAGGGTTTGCCTTTTTTGGATTCTTGGTTCAATGTGGACGAACGTTTTCTTCGTGACATCAGCTTAACACGCAGTGAGTAACTGATATACAAACGTTCATTTCACAGGTGAAATATTCTTTAAGGCTACAGTGATCATGAAATCCATTTAAAGCTTAATAATCACAAGTGATTGAATCATCTGTCCCAAACTCGCTAACCTCTGATTTCAATCCGTCACTTTCTGTTGACACCCCACCCTTCCCGCTCTTTCTGCCATAATCCAGTCAGCATCGAGATAAAGGATCTTTATCTATTTGATCCTGATTAATTGATCTCCTCTGTCTGATCAATTTCCACATCTTTTCTTATGCTGCTGTGTGTGAAAGCATTTAACGCTCTTGGACAACTTTTATCTCTGATGAACCCAGCTGAACCCGGACACTGGTATGATGCCAGAAATACGTTGGACTCTTTAGTCAGACAGACGTTTAATTTTGGTTGGGATGAAAACTGGGTTGACTGTATTTTAAATGTCTAACGATGTTAGAATTTCATGTTGTGTGGACGTTAACATTATGATGTTTTGCAGACGTTACGTTTTTTTCTCTATACCTCACAACTGAATGTCTTTCTCCTACGTCAGGGTGACACTGGCATTAGACGTGTCACACATACTCAACAACAGAACTTGAAACCAACAAAATATCAATGTAATTTGTCGCCAGTATTCTAAATCAAATTGACGTTGCCATTACACCAACAGCAGCTGTGGCTCAGGAGGTAGAGCGGGTTGATGCCCGGCTCCTCCAGTCCTGATGTTGAAGCATCCTTGGGCAAGACACTGAACCTCAACCTGCTCCTGATGGCTGTTCCATCGGTGTGTGAGTGTGTTAAAAACTGAGTAGCAAGTGGTAGTGATGGCCTCATGAAGCCTCATGAAGCATTTTCTTTATTTTATGAGCCCACTAGATGGCGCTTTTTGTTCAACAAAAGGTTGAAAGCACACTGAATTGCCATTCTTTGAGCTTCTCTCTTTAAACCATGAGCACCATCTAGTGGGCTCAGAAAATAAAGAAAATGCTTCATGAGGCTTCATTTGGCTGTCACTAGCAGGTGGTAGCCTCGGCCACCAGTGTAGGAATGTGTGTGAATGGGTGAATGTGACCCATAGTGTAAAAAGCGCTTTGAGTGGTTGAAAGTACAGAAAGGCGCTATACGTCCCGACACTGAATTTTGGTCACCCGATGTCACAGCCTGAATTCAACCACATATCAACATCTAACAGTGTTGGTGGCCAGTTGGGTAATGGTTACGGGAAAAGGGGAGCCACGTCTGGCTCTTATTCATTTCTTTATTCTGTCAACAAGAGCAAACTAAAGACTTAAAGAGATGAGTGGGACTGATGAGGATAGTACTAATTTCAGAAATCAAAAATACATATTTTCCCTCCTACCTGTGGGGCAATTTATCACTCTACATTGTTTTGGTGTGAGTTGCCAAGTGTTGGAGATATCAGTCATAGAGATGTCTGCCGTCTCTCTAATATAACGGAAATAGATGGCACACGGCTCACAGTGCTCAACATCCGTGGTTCTGGGTGAGCCAGCAGGAGATGCACACAGGTAAGAGTGAACGTGTATTTTTGATTTTGGGGTGAACTGTCCCTTTAAATCCCTGCAGCCATCTAAAGGCAGCAGGGCAAATGTGAGTGATGAGTCTACAGCCTCCGATTTGACAAGTGCCACACTGCTGCTATGACCCATTACACATGGCCCTGATTAAATCATGTGAACATAACACCAGGGCTCTGCACAGAAACCTCCGATAACTGACCACAACAAATGGCTGAGTTTCCGTCTTTGCCCGTCGGCACTGATGGTGATCTGTAACGAGATGGGATTCCACAGTGTAATCAAATAGTCTTAATTGAATTCTTTGACTGAGTGGTGAACAAATAATGAATAGAGGGCCTCCGGTAGCAAACTGCCGCTGCTTCACATAAATGAGACAGAAAACACTTCTGGCTCGACACAAAAAACCTTCGTCAATATTTTCAAAAAAACCTCAGAGAAATTTTAATTATGTAGCGAACGGCAAGGAAGCAAATTAATTAGTTTAAAAAACAAGCTGTCTTTATTTAAATTTATAAACACACAGAAAGAATTTGTCTGTAGGAGGGGCTTTTGATTCAAGACTGTGTTTGAATAAAGCCAGGGTCTGAACATTTTCAAGTTCAGTGTATTTAACCTTGGAGCCATTGTGTTTGAGACAAACGAAGAGCATCTTGTGAGAATTCGTCATTTCAGAATGATTCAGCTCCTCCAAGATGTCGCAATGCCACAACTGCAACTATTTATTCAACACATTCCAGTGAATTCTCTGTAACCTTGAAATTCCGTCCAATCACCGCAACTTTTCTGCAAATTCAACCGATCGTCCCCTGCACACCACCGTGAGCGACATAAACGTCTCACATTTACATACATACATTTTGCTGCTACAAAAAAATCGTTGAAGTGAGATGAATCAGACTGAAAACTTTAACCTTATTAGATAAAACAGATATTGACGAAGTTTTCCTTTGGGGACAAAATTTATAGTGGGAAAAGTAAATCACAATATATCGCAGTAGTCACCATATTGCAGCATATCTAAAATTGCAGTAATATTGTATCATGACTTAAAGTGCACTTATAGTGCACCCAAAAGTGAAAATTCAGCCATTATCTACTCACCCATATGCCGAGGGAGGCTCAGGTGAAGTTTTAGAGTCCTCACATCACTTGCAGAGATCCAAGGGGAGAGGAGGTAGCAACACAACTCCACCTAATGGAGGCTGACGGTGCCCCAGATTCAAACGTCCAGAAACACATAATTGAAACCACAAAATATCTCCATACTGCTCGTCCGTAGTGATCCAAGTGTCCTGAAGCCCCGACATAAAAAGTTGTTTGGAAAAACGTCATTTGAGCTCTGTTTTTAGCCTTTACACGTGAGTGTAGTGTCCAGAGAGGCAGTCAGAGCTACAGGCTACAATGAGGCTAAAAACAGAGTTCAAATGAGGTTTTTCCAAACAACTTTTTATGTCGGGGCTTCAGGACACTTGGATCACTACGGACGAGCAGTATGGAGATATTTTGTGGTTTCAATTATGTGTTTCTGGACGTTTGAATCTGGGGCGCCGTCAGCCTCCATTAGGTGGAGTTGTGTTGCTACCTCCTCTCCCCTTGGATCTCTGCAAGTGTTGTGAGGACTCTAAAACTTCACCTGAGCCTCCCTCGGCATATGGGTGAGTAGATAATGGCTGAATTTTCACTTTTGAGTGCACTATCCCTTTAAGTATCTTGATAATATCGTATGTGGATCTTTTGGGCCCAGTATTTCAAAACTTGTAATCCGGATCAGAATAATCCGGATAATGAAATCCTCCTTTTCTCAGTCAGGGATCAAGGTGATCCTGCTGACTTTATCTGGGTATTTCAAAACACTGGCAGGGTGGATCCCTTTGATCCCAATCTGACTGGATACGGATTTCCAAATCTCCAAAACTCCGCCCCCGGATCTGAAACGTTTCCCCTTTGGGGGCATGGCTTTCAGATTATGACCCGCTGTGCTCTGTCTCCACGGCGGAGTACTTCACGAAAGGAGCAGTTGGTAGCACAGCTTTTGCATCAAAATGTAAGTATACCGTTGTCTAATGTGTAGCGTTTTTAAGACCATACGAAGGCCACTCACCATCTCATGTGAGCCAGCTATTTGAATTGTCACCTACTTAAAACGTGGGCGTACC